ATCTAATATTGGAATTTGGGTGTTGCTTAAGAAACAGAATATTTTGGGATCATACAAGGAACTTGTTAACCTATTGTTATAAATGTGACCACATAAATATTAGAAGTTTCAGTGATAAGGGAAATTTGGAGAAGGACTATGTTATTGCATAGTCTATCTTTGTAAAGACTTTCATAAGAGCTACTCTCAGCACAAACTGCTGATATCTAGAATAACACAGAAAGGATATCATATACATCAGAGAAAAATGTAAATGTCACACATATGAATAGATTCATCCTCAAGGCAGCAGAATGTAGCTAAAATTCAGTCCCCAACTGCCGGCAGCTATAAATAAAGTAGAAGATGCCAATTCTATGAAATACGTTGTTCAGTCTCATCCAACCCCCACAAAGGCTGTCCATGGAAATGTTTAACAACAATGTTTACTGTTTGTTCTGCACAGAAAATTCTGTTGGCACATGGCAAGATTCAAATGCATTGTGATTCAGTCTTTGTAGTCCACCATTGTTTTGTGATAAAGTATTTTGGTTAGGCGTATGTAACACCTAATCTTGAGAGTCCCCTGGCCTGCAAGGAGATCAAACCTACCCATTCTGAAGGAAATCAACCCTTAGTGCTCACTGGGAGGACAGATCCTGAAGCGGAGGCTCCAGTACTTTGGCCATCTCATGAGAAGAGAAGACTCCTTGGAAAAGACCTTGATGTTGGGAAAGTGTGAAGGCAAGGGGACCGCAGAGGATGAGATGGTTGGACAGTGTCATTGAAGCTTCCAACATAAATTTGGCCCAACTCTGAGAGGAAGTGGAAGACAGAAGGGCCTGGTGTGCTCTGGTCCATGGGGTCATGAAGAGTCGGACATGATTTAACGACTAAACAACAACATGTAACATTGCTTGCATTAGCACTGGATGTTCCATGTGCTGACAGTGTAAGGGGAGAGGTTTCAGTACCATAGACTAAATAGACTGGCCCCTCTGCTTGAGTTGTGTCACTTCCTGCTTTCTTTCTTCTTCTGTCTTTTGCTCTCTCTCCACTTTATGTCCTGGGGAAAGCAGCTTGTTCCTTTTTCTCTTCTCCAAGCGTGTGAACCACATGTGGACTGCTTGGGAGTGACCAAATAAATGCTTGTTCATCTCTGATAAACTTTGACTAGTGTTTTTTGTTCTAAGCCTCTCTGTGCAGATCCTGACAGATCTAGGTGCAAACAAAAGCCTGTTTTATTTCCAGCAATTTTGCGGTGCTATTTGTACAGTCCTTCCATGTGTTTGTTGATGGAATCCAATATTGTTGGCTTCTGTGGAACATCACTCTGTGTAACACTCCCCTTTGTTATTGGTGAGATAGCAAGGTACACTTTTCAGGAGTTACTTGCTATTATAAAAAGTTAAAACCAAGGTTGTTTAAAATTCAGTGTTTCACAGATGCATCCACGTTGCAAAAGCTGTGTTTTCCTCAGTAGCTATTTTTTTATTTGCTTAAAAAGAATCACCACAATTTTCAACCAAATTAAATTCCCAAAGCAAACATACACAATCAATAAAAGACACTTCTTGCCTGTGGTTATTTCTTACAATGTAAAAGGAGTGAGATGTGGAAGCAGTGAGATGGGAACCATCTACAATCAGCTAGTGGCCATGTTGGCTGTCAGATTTGTGGAGCCATAGTTTAAACGAACAGCTCCCATTTCTGGAAGAAAAGATGTAGTCATTAGCAAGATTGGTTAATCAGCCTTGCTTCTCCCCATTGCTCCCTTTGCTACTCCTTACTGGATACAGCTTCAACTCCCAGTTTACTTTAGCTGAGGCTTAACTGGTATGATACCAGTAATGCAGTGAAGATGCATACTAGCAGCCTTCTTCCACATTCTGGGACATACTGGTAATATTTAGGGGGTGGGGTGGGAAAGAGCCACAGGACTGGGCTGAATGGAATGTTTTCTTCTTACAGAGAATGCTAGCTTAGAAAATAACATTTGTCAACCACGTTTAGAGATGTTAATGCAGTAACATGGGGTTGGACTACTGAGAAACATTTCTGTCATTATTTTAGCAGCATACTGTTAAGTGCTCTTAAACTCTTTGAACAGAGAGAAATCTGGGTGGAAACATTACCATCAGTATGACGAAAAGAGAAAACAGGAAATGTGGAATCTGTCTTGAAAATCAGGGCTATGAGTGCCTGGGAAACTAGTTAAGTGCTGTAACAGCCAGCTTCTAGATTTTCAAAACAAGGAGGGATAACACCTGAAGCTTATTTTCTGAGAAAGAGGCCTTCAAGACCAGGCCTAGCCAGTTCCCTGATATCATGCTAATTGGGGAAAACCATTTCACCTGAGGGTGGGAAGAAAGCACTCTTCCTGAAGCCAGACTGATTGTTGATCCAGAAGAATCTAGAATGAGATGTTTAATATGTAGTAACAATATTGTAGAGTTTTGAATTATTGGCAAACTTCTGTTTTTGCTACATAGTAAAAGAAGTACAGAGATCCACAGAGGAGAATAGAATGGGACCTGCTTATCCATGGGGTCAGTGATTCACTTATCCACACTCTGAAAATATTAGGAAAAAAAGAAAAAGAAAAACAAAACAAGAAAAACCTATTTTCACATGTAATACCAGAACCAGCCACTAGGGCCAGAGACCATGCTATGCATGTACTTATTAGTGAAGAATACATAGCATGGTCTCTAGTGTCATCTAGTGGACAATTCAAGTAATTGAATGAATCCCCAGCAGATATGGGGGTCCTACTTTAGGTACAAGCTCTCCATAGTCCACACCTTTCTCATTAACTGGCACTAAAAGTCTCTATAACTCATTCTGAGACATTTGTAGTAAAAAGAACTAAAACATTCCTTTACTAAAAAGGTTCTTTAGTTGCTTGAAATTACAGACCTCCATATACTTTCTTTACTGCACGCATACTAACAATCAACTGAACAGCTCAACAGCAAACAACAACTGCCACAAACCAACAAATCAGAGGGATTGAACACTCAGCGGAGAGGTGAGGCTCTCATTTAATTCAAAAGCTGGCCAGAATAATTGGTTAGTGCTGAACAGCTCTGCCCAGAAAGGTCCCTCCCAATATACAAGGGTTCCCTCATAATAATCTACTAAACACCTGCAGATTTGAACTCCTGCCAAGAACTAATGAATAGAGATGGGAACTTCATGCTTCATATGAAACATGGCACCACAAGTGGTGCTGAGTTCTGTCTCCCTTCCCCCAAGCTGACTGGTCCACTTACCGGGCTCTGCATGCTGCTGAGGTCCTTCTTTGATAGCAGTGTTCCAATCCAGGTAGGAGCCCAGCCAGTCATTCCCCACCTCCCCAGGCAGCCAACCCACTCATCAGCTGTGCAGGGACATTCTCTTTCCCACCTCCTCACCAGAGTGGTTGGCTGCCTGGGGAGGTGGGGAAAGGCTGGCTGGGCTCCTACCTGGATTGGAGTGCCACTGCCAAAGAAAGAAAGACCCCAGCAGCATTCGGAGCCCAGTAAGTGGACCAGCTGGCCTGGGGGGGGGGAAGGAGATGCAACTCAGCACCACTTGTGGTGTCATGCTTTGTTCCCATTTCTACTAATAAACTGAAAGAGTTTCATATATCTCTCAATGAAATTTGTCAGTCTCTTCATTATGTTTGCTAAACCTGCTAATTTCAACAACTCTGTCCACATCTGGTAAATTATTGGCATTTCTCTGATTTTTGAGTATCACTTCAGCTTCAGGACTCAAGTCAAATAGTGCAACCTCTGAATTGATTTGTGCTGAATTGGACCATTATCTGAATGCTGATCCAAACCATATCCTATGGTCAATTAATAAAAATCTAATGCATACCTATCAGCTTTGCATGATCTGTGTTTCCATAAAATTTGGTGGTCAGTCCTATAAAGTGGAACATGGGTTTACACATGGGTTATATTCAAGCCATATGACTGAGCATCCTGTGGTGATGAAGACAGGACAGGTATGCCATGTGGGCAGAAAGAGCAGGCAGACTCCTGTTATTTTCTGTACTTGTGTGGACCAGATCAAAGAGAGGTATTGTCTGACTGGTTCTAGGGATGCTGAATTTATTTCATAGAAAATTTCATTATGTGTAATAACCTCAGGAGATGATTATTGTGGTTGTGTAAAATAATGGATAATGAAATGGGCAAAAACCTCAGATTGCATCACACCCATCCTTCATTTAAAAGCTTTTCAAACTGCATATTTTGTGCTTCCTCCAGCATATCTATGTCTAGTGAGAGACTCAATCCCTTTGTTTGGAAAACTCTGCAATTAGAATAAATTTACTTTTAATGGATGTTGATAGAACTGGCCCACATACGGAACTAATAATGACTTTCCAACAGTTTTAAATAGATTTCCAACAGTTTTAAATAGATTTTATTGGCATAGACTGAAGACACGCAGTTTTGAATCGTTACTAACTCCTGGCAACTGACCATAGAGAAGCCAGATGTTGAGGTTACTTTGAACACAACAATGATTTTATTGGTATTTTGACAAATGATAACTTAATGGTTGGAAGCGGATGAACCAGAAACAAAGGTTTTCAACCGCCTGAAGCATTCCATTTGCAGTCTTGCTTTTCACTTCCTGACTTGGCCCAAAAGCCATGGGATGAAGGACTGCAAATGGAGGAAACGGAAATGTTTTGGCTATAATGAACATTTTCAGTTTAAACCTACATAAATTAGGTCCACTGAAAGAGGAAGAGAATGTTTAAAGATCTGAGGTTTTAAATTAAATTCATGAATCTGGGAAGTATAGTGGCATAGTAAAATCTAATCAAAAGAAGTTAAAAAGCTATATCATACCATCTGTCATAAAATTCTGACAATGCATTTGTGTGTGTGTGTATGAGTGAGGCTGTGACCATATAAATGGTATATTCTGAGCAGATTTGTATACAGATTCAGTGGCAAATATAGTGATTCCTATATTTTGTGTGGTGGTTTTCACAGTTTAAAATTGTTTTCCAGGTTGCCCTCCCCTGGGTCTTGAAACATTAAAAATTACTGACTTTCAGCTCCATGCCTCTACAGTAAAGCGATATGGCCTTGGGGCCCACAGAGCACGGCTAAATATTCAAGTAAGTTTACATTTCTTTCTAAGTGGACTAGAGGGTACAATTGTTCTGTAATCTTACAACTTTTGACCACTGTGTCGAGAAACAATTTTTTTTTACAAAAGAAGACAACATTTTTGCATTACAGAGTTGGTTAACAGAATTCCTTTGCTTTGAATGTTCCAGTATTGATTTCTATGAGTAAAATATGTATGGAGTTCTTTAAATTAAGGAGTGTGAGAACAAATTACACATTGCCTACACTGCACAGTGTAAACTAAGTCCTTTTCTCTTGCTCAGTAGTAAGTGTGAACAGTGGCAGCTCAACATGTAGAGCAACTGGGATACTCAGATTGCACCCAGCTATCCCATTTCTGCCTGCTTCCTAGCCAGAGGCAGAACACTTCCATAGGCCTGCCCAAGTGTGAATGCTTTCTTGCCTGCATCAGTTTCTCTCTCTCTCTCTGTATGTGTGTATATGAGGTGGGAGGGAAGAATGCTCACTTCTGCTCCTTTCTCCGCTCTCCACTGGTTACTGTACTTTCTGCTTTGCCAGTCATAATGGGTAACAGCCACCACTAAGGGCATGTCCAGACAGAGGAAGTTGGAAGGGTTTGGTTCATACTTAAAATGTTCTTATCTTTAGTGTGATCTGTTTTATCTCTCATTTGAGCAATCTTTCTGTTCATACTGATTGATGTTTCTTCTCCTGAGAAGGGTCCAGACTGGTCTTTGGATCCCTCCAGTTGTCCTCCTTTCAATTAATGGCACTCCCCTTTGCCTCCTTCCCTTCCTTTCCCTATAGCCATCATACAGCAGGTTGCAGTGACTTTCTTTTATTTTGTTGTTAAAAAAAGTGACATAGCGAAACAGCAATGCATGGTACACATAATTGTGTCAATGTATCTCATTTATCAAGAACAGTGCTGCATCAATAGAAAAATATGTGAAAAAAATTTAAAATGGTAGAGCTGATAAAAATAGAAGGGGGGGGTTGTTCCCTGTCATCCGTTTCAAAGCCACTGCCCATCAAATACATCATAGAGTTGTTACCTCAGATAACACCACCCACAGCTCCATTTGTGTGTGAACTAACCATCCACACAGGCTACAGGATGGGATAATTAGAAACACTCTTAATTGCGCCCCAAAACTCTGTATCCCGAACTTTTTGCCAAAAATGAGCAAGACAGCTGTAAAAAGCGGCAGGATGGATCATTCTAAGTCAAAATATCTGTGGATGCTGTAATTTGATTTGAAGCAGACTGCACTAAAAGTGGTCCAATATATGCCCATCTGCACATACTCAAAGTGTGGGGGACCCAATATGGACTGGAACCCTTACCCTGGGGATAACAAGAGCTGTAAGCTGTTGCTTCCTGCTCTGGTTCTGATCCATTCCATGCCTGTAGTTTGCACAGGAAAAGAACAAACAGACCTCCCATTGTAGTATCTGTCTTTGTTTGTTTTGTTTTAATCTGTGCATATTTCAGATGTGCCGCTTTACCTTGCAGGGTTGTTATATGAATAAAAGGGGAGGGGGTTCTGTATGCTATTCTTGAAGGAAGACAGAATCAGAAATGTAATAATATAATAGTAAAGGTAAAGGTTCCCCTTGACAATTTTTGTCCAGTCGTGTTCCACTCTAGGGGGCGGTGCTCATCCCCGTTTCCAAGCCATTAGAGCCAGCGTTTGTCCGAAGACTATCTTCTGTGGTAACATGGCTAGTGCGACTTAGACACGGAACGCTGTTACCTTCCCTCCGAGGTGGTCCCTATTGATCTACTTGCATTTGCATGCTTTCGAACCGCTAGTTTGGCGGGAGCTGGGACAAGCGACGGGGGCTCACTCCGTCGCGTGGATTCGATCTTACGACTGCTTGGTCTTCTGACCCTGCAGCACAAGCTTCTGCGGTTTGGCCCGCAGCGCCACCACGTCCCTCTGTAATAACATAATAGCTACAACTAAAAATGTAATTGTTCTTCAGTAAGGGTTAGTTCATTTTTTAATAAGCCGAGATGTCCAACCTGCTGCTCATTCCACTGTGAGAATTGCAGTCCAACTCACCTGGAGGATACCAGATCTCACCCAGGCTATGTTATTTCAATAGTCTCTGTGTTTTTTCAGCCAAAGAATTTCCTCTGCACTGGTGTGATCAGCATTTTTTTCACCTCATCCCTATGATTTTACAATTATCTTGCTTCACCCAGGAATTTTTTTTCTCCTGTGACTTTTAACTTCCTTTGTTTTCCTCCTGAAAATATAATGTAATTAGTATCAGTTGCCCTGGGGTTATAGTTTAGCATTCCACACATGGAAGCCCCAGTTGGAATCTTCCCATTAGTACAAATAAAATTAAATGAAATGAGTACTTAAAGATCCCTCAACGAGAAGCAGAGTTCATAAAGAGAAGAGAAAGGTCTTCTTAAGAAGAAGTTTCGATGGAAATACTAGTAAGCCCTGTGTCACTAAGCAACAGAAGTTTCCGAGGGAGAAAGAAAATGCTCCATCTTGAAAAGCCCTCCGTTGCTTTATGCTACCATTCCTTTGTATTTCTCTGAACCAAAAGTGCCTGTTTTCAACAATTTTCAACATAAATGCTTATTTGATTCCGACACACAGGACACAAGTCAAAAAAAGAACTCTAATCCATGGTAGTGCTTAATCACTGGAATTTATCAGCTTGCCTTTTCCTGTTCAAACACTACCTACTTTTCTGATGCAACTTTATCTGTAATAGACAGATTTAGTAGAGCTGGAGTCACATTCTTCTTGCTGTATAGCAACCAGATAACCTTCTGCTAAGCCTATAATTCAGATTTGCTGTTCATATGACCCATCCTGACTGACAGTTGACAGTGACAGGGATGTTTGCCCCCATTTTCTTCACTCTTCTGGTGTTTTCCATTTAAAATATATAACATTAATAATTTGAAGCTTAACAACATTTTTTTCTAGAGTTATGCTCTATTCTTCATATTCAGATGCAGAACGCAGCCATGACATTATACAGTCAAAGAATAGCATGACATCCTCCTTCCTTCCACGTGCCACAGCCAACAGGTGGGTATAGGAAGAGATAAGAGTATAAAATAGTTGAATTATTATGGGATAGAAAAGAGATAACTTAAGAGTAGAAGGATATGGTGAAGTGAGAGAAAATAAGGTAGTTTTTTCATCATGATTGGGGGAGGCAGGATCAAGAACACACTGCAATGGCCAAAAGACATTTTTGTTAAATACAGTAAAGCTCTCCATTCCAAGGGATTGTTTTTGCTTTTTCTTAAACACACACACACACACACACACACACACACACACACACACACACACACACACACACACACACACACACACACACACACACACACACACACACACACACACACACACACACACATATATGTTTAGAATTTCCTGTCCTGCGGGGCTGGGTCAAGATTATGCTGGGGAGACAAGGATTAAATCTCCAGCTGCCACATACAGTAATCCAATCTGGATCCACCCCCACACACTTAGTTTTAATTCAAGAATAATCCAGAAGTCTTGTGCTATAACAAACAATATCTTTGAAGCAGAGGTTGGCAACTACAATCTTCCAACTTTTGTTGGACAACAACTCTTATAATAATTTACTGTTGGGTGAACTGACTAGGGCTGATTCTTTTTCAATCCAATGTGTTGATGTGTGTGTCTCTGTGTGTGCGAAGCTTCCTGATCCTTTTGTTGTTGTTGTTGTTTAGTCATTTAGTTGTGTCCTGATGCCCAGGATGTCGATGTTTATTCTTCCCATCTCCTGTTTGACCACCTCCAGCTTCCCAATGTTCATAGATCTTACATTCCAGGTTCCTATGCAGTATTTTTCTTTGCAGCATTGGATTTTCCTTTCACTTCCAGGCACGTCCACAGCTGAGCGTCCTTTTGGCTTTGGCCCAACCACTTCATTAGCTCTGGAGCAACTTGTACTTGTCCTTCGCTCTTCCTCGGTAGCATGTTGGATGCCTTCCGACCTGAGGGTCCCATCTTCTAGTGTCATATCTTTTAGCCTTTTGGTTCTGATCATGGGGTATTCTTGGCAAAGATACTGTAGCGGCATTTCCAATTCCTACTCCAGGTGGATTGCCTTTAGTCAGAACTCTCCACTATGACCGGTCCGTCTTGGGGGTCCCTGCACGACATAGCCCACAGCTTCTCTGAGTTATTCAAGCCCCTTCACCATAACAAGGCAGCAACCCATGAAGGGGATCCCTTTGTGCATCCTCTCTATTTCTTTTCATTCAGGGATGGGCAAAGGCCAAACACATTATCCCTGGCTGTCTCTGTGAAAAGATGTCCATGGCAAGCCCACAGACAGGGATCTCAACCAGATGCCTTTCTTACCAGGCACTGCTACTTAGGGTTTTCTCTTTGTCCCTTCTCTGAAAAACAGGAGGTGACTCTAAAGCATTACAAAAACAGCATATAGCTTGCTGGCAACTTAAGCCCTAGCAAATTAATTGCTGTCATAAACTTCCATGCACTGCGACAGCCCACTTTGTCAGATGCATGGAGGGTTATCCTGGGGCACCCACATGCACGCACCCTCCCACACAGAGGAAGGCAGTGAGAACCATTGGGAAAGACAAATTGCAAAATACAGACATCTTAAGTTCTTTGTTTCTAATTATAGTGATGATCATAGTGGAACACATGCAGTTTTGCTGAGTGCTTGAGGAAGAAAGACATCTGGCTTGATTAGCAGCTTGGTAGCACCTGGAAAAAAAGCCAGTGTCAGATCCTTTGAGGTACTAATTGGAAAGGTCTCAAATCATCTCAAATTGTCACACTTTTATGCCATCAAAGACTGTGCAGTGCTTTAAAGTTAACAGTTTCTCACACTGGCCTGGAATGTCTGTGTCAGATGAAATGGCAGAACTGTATCATTTGTCAAAGCACTGTGGTTTTGAGGACATTTTGGACACCTTGCTGAGGGACAGGCTGGTTTGTAGCCTTCATGATCAGGTATCTGTACAGAAACATTACACAAGGCATGGAAGCAGGGTGGATTTGATTTAATTTTTTTAAAAATGGTTTAAATAAAATTGTTATTTTTTAAAACATTTAAATTATGATTTTAATTGATTTGATCCTAAAAGTCATGTATTTTTATCCACTCTGCACGTAAACAACAGGGTGGTATGCTCAACCAGTAGTAGCTACCATCCATGTTACAGTTCTCCTACACAGCATTAGCTACAAAGAACTCCAAACCAACAGGAAAACACTTTTTATACATAACAAAAACTGCTTGGGTTGTGGAGGTAACATCTCAACCACCTGCACCTTCATGGGAACAGTATGTAAACCAAGGTGACCTTGTTCTAGGAAAAGGGAACACAAAATGAAGAAAACTGTATAAAAGCCACATGCATTTTGGTGAATTGTGGAGCTTCTTTTGTTACTTATACATCAACATACTTCATTACTGTATTGCATAGGATGTACATATGCAAAGACATGTAGATGGAAAGATGATGTTACATAAATGTATCTACTCATGGCTGAAAACAGTACAGTATTTACAAGCAACTTAGGTAGCTGCAACTAGTTAGCTTTTAGGTAACAGGTAATGCAATTAGAAGGTTGACCACCAAAGAATTTATGCTTTTGAATTATGGTGCTGGAGGAGACTCTTGAGAGTCCCCTGGACTGCAAAGAGAACAAACCTATCCATTTTGAAGGAAATCAACCCTGAGTGTTCACTGGAAGGACAAATCCTGAAGCTGAGGCTCCAATGCTTTGTCCATCTCATGAGAAGAGAAGACTCCCTGGAAAAGACCCTGATGTTGGGAAAGTGTGAAGGCAAGAGGAGAAGGGGATGACAGAGGATAAGATGGTTGGATAGTGTCATTGAAGCTACCAACATGAATTTGACTCAACCCTGGGAGTCAGTGGAAGACAGGAGGGCCTGGCATCACAAAGAGTTGGATACAACTTAATGACTAAACACCAACAAATGCAATTAGTAGTTACAATGCCACTTTTCATGTGTGACATGTAACACCTGCTTTCCAAAGAAGTAGCTGTGTTAGTCTATCTTGACAAACTGGGAAAATTATGGGTTGGGGAAAAGAAGTCAAAATAAAGGCAAAATATTTATTTCAGTGTGAGATTTCATGTCTCAAAATCCATTTCTTAAAATGTCTGAAACCTACTAGTGGAACTTAGGTGATGTAAGGTTGTTTACATCAACACCAGGTCCTAAGGCTCTCTTGGGTCCCCTTTCATGATTGGGAAGTCATTGTGGGATGGGTGGAAGAGTCTTTAATTTTTGAAAATTGCTACCAGTAAAACCATCCTGCTGGTGGTGATTTTCAGAAATTCTGTTTTGCTACTGAGTTTAAGCCAATGAGTGCAAATGTTTTTGTAGATATATTGATTTATTTCAGGACCTTCTTCCTTTGTAATTGTTATTTTATGATTTACTTATTTTTAAAGTTTGTTTTGTCTGTGGCTGCCATCTTGTGCTTTTTGTGAGATATTTTTTATATTACTGTGATCTGGGTGGCGTGATTATTGTTTATTATCTTTATGTTTGTTCTTTTGTTGGAAACTGGCTGCCACTAGATGGTGAGGTATAGAAATTCAATAAATAAATAAATAAATAAACAAACAATTACTTCCAATGCTACTTTTTAACAACATTTTAAAGGCATTTCTAGAACCATTTTGAGAAGATTTTTTGAGGTTTTATGCTATTGTCTCATCAGTCCTAAGTGGCAAGAAGAGTGTTGTTTGGTTTTATCTTTTGCATTTTAATAAACATGTATAAATTGCAATGTCAGAACTGGTCACTAGGAGGGACCAGAGATTACGTTCCTATATCTTTTTGCCAACCTAGCAGTTCGAAAGCATACAGAATGTGAATGGATAAATAGGTACCACCTTGGTGGGAAGGTAATGGTGTTCCGCGTCTAGTCGTGCTGGCCACGTGACCACAGAAACTGTCTTCGGACAAATGCTGGCTCTGTGGCTTGGAAACGGGATGAGCACCGCCCCCTAGAGTCAGACATGACAGGACTATATGTCAAGAGGAACCTTTACCTTATCTTTGTGGCATGTTGATAATGCCATCACAACACGTTAATAGCACACAATGCCATGAACTTGTTGAACAGTGATATTAGTGGCAACTTTGGTGTCAAGAAGAAATTTTTAATGCAACAAATTCCTTTGAAAATGTACCATTCTAAGGCCTGACCACTGGCTGGCTCTTTGACTTTACTGTCTGCTTTGTCCTTTGGACTCTGACCTTCCTTCATCCCTGACTGCTATCTTATCTGTGGCTCCTGGTTCTCTGCCCCTGGCTTACCATAGAATGCTGCCTGTGATTTAGCCTGGAAAACAACAGAGTGAGCTATAATTTTATGTTTCTTTTGGTTTTTTTTTCCTTTTTAAGTTTGTGAAGTTTTCTTTTTCTTTTATTTACTTTTTTTGCTTCTGATTTTTAAAGATAGCTTTCCTTCCTTTTCAGGCAGGTGTCAATGAAAATGACTTTTATGATGGTGCTTGGTGTGCAGGACGGAATGACCCCTACCAATGGATTGAAGTAGATGCCCGCCGGCTAACAAAGTTCACAGGCGTTATCACGCAGGGAAGAAATTCTCTTTGGCTGTAAGTACATCTTTTCCTCATTTTCTAAGGAAAACCCAGATGTTGTGGAGAATGTTTTTATTTTGTTAAAAGCAAGAAATTCAGTAGGGCACAGCAAGATACCACAGACATGCTTTACCAGAGGAAAACTAAACATTTTTGGAGGGGGCTGGGGGGAGAGTGTAATAATTTTAAACCAGTAACAGACAATGCTACTTCCCATCAGGTTGACCTTTGAATATTGAGATATGTGTATGTTAACAGCATGATCTTGGCAGGAAGCTTAATTAGGGCTAGTTGCTCTCTTTGAGTCTCTTTGAGGAGATGGGCATTATTGTGCAAGCATAGGGGTTACCATGCATTTACTCAGTTTGGAAGATAAATGCATGGCTAAATATTAGTATAATTCTGTGAGGTATAAGGGTATAATTCAGTTTGGCGCATTTCTTCTGGGCTTCCTGTACATCTAAAAGGACTACCATATCCTGTGTTCTTCATCTATGCTATGATCCCTGTCGTACCACTGGACCAATAAACAATGTATAAACAGCCAACCTTGTCCTTCTCTGGTGCTTGCTGTTTCTAGTCTGAATTTTATTTTACAAAGGACAGCCTTCTGCTTCTTTTTAAAAGGTGCCCTCTGTGTGAAGAGCTGCCTAATCAAGTCCAGTTTAAAAGGCAAAGGAGCATAAGGGGGGAGATCAGGGACCATGAAGTTGCCCGTTATCTGGTTTGATCCGGGCAGCAGATGAGTTGACACACATGTGACTTGGTCACAGCCCCCTCCCACTTTTCACTTCATTTCCATTTAAGCTGTTAAACTAAGCACATGAGAGTGTTATGCAAATGAAATTTATTCCTTTGTTCTTTTTCACTTTTTTCATCAGTATGTACATGAGCATCCTACATGCTTCTATCATAACTAATTATTTTTATTTACAGAAGGATAAAGCTTTGTTTTTCTCCTCTTCTTCATGTCCTTTTTTCTTATATTTAAAACTAAGAAAATGCATTTCTTAATGTGTGTGTGTGTGTGTGTGTGTGTGAGAGAGAGAGAGAGTGAAAGAGAAAGAAATGACTGAAGTAATTCAATTTTATTTTCAACTATAGGCCATTTGCCAAGGGATAACTGTTTTGCAACTGTTATTTTTTCCCCACTGAGATTCTTAATGTTTCCTAGTGGCTCCATGAAGCTACTGAGAGAGATCAATAGTGGCCGCGTGCCAGATCGCCTTTCCTTCCTGAGGCATCTATGAAAATCAGATGCGCACCTTGTAAACGTAATCAAAAGTAGAAGTGGCAGTAGGCATTGTAATAATACTATTTTATTCAAAATTACCAACTTCTGGCCCATCCTTCACCCACTTTAATTGGGATAACTTGAAGCAGTAATGCTTAAAAATGAAATATCAAAGATATTGCAGAAAAATGCCTATTGATATAATGATACTGCACATTAAAAGAATGTAGAATCATTGCTTCATGCTTAAAAATGGCTGTTCAAATCAAAACAAAAGGTTTGACATTATTTCAGTCAATACATCAGCAAATATTCAGAATGCATTATTAGATGAAGTACAGTCACAAAGGCCACCGTCCCCCAGATCTACAAAGCAATGTTGATCGAGCTGACAGCCTATATGAAGCATATTTGCTGAGCAAATGTCAAATAAATGGGCTGTGTTCTCCAGGTATCATCTAGAATGACATAAATGGAATTCAGTCGTGAGCCACTCTAAAACAATGGCAAAAGTCAAAAAGTGCTGCTATATTAAGAGGCTCTTCCAAGAAGCAAATAGTATCATACAAATTTAGTTGCATGTTATCATTGGATGGTATTACTTACTCATTTAACATGGAATGGAGACTGATTCATTAGGTAAAATGGGACACTGTTCTGTCTCAGGCTCAGGTAACCTCTAACCAGCCATTCCTCAGGGAAAATGCAGTTGCTATTCATTGTATTTAAATGTCATTGCTCTTCAGTGCTTGCAGATGGTTCACAGTCATATCACCCAGGCATGTTGCTGAATGTAGTTTAATAACCAGCCTTCACATTAAAATGACAAAAAAAACACGTCTTCCCTTGCCCGTTGGTGGCAGTACTGATCAACCTCCTCTCTTCAGGTCAACAATAACAAAATCCAAGCATAGGAGGAAGTGGCAGCAGGTAGGAATACTTCTAATTTTACAGCAGGGTTGTGGAGCGCATAAGTAGGGCAAGAATGAGAAAATATCTGAGTGAATGCCTCCTGCCTCTGAGTTCATGAGTGTGTATATATTTGTGCATGTATGAAAGGAATACTCACTTCTACCCTGAGCAGTGCCTGTCAACCTTGACTCTGCTCATCTTTTGCCCTACCAACCATAATGGGCACCAGCTGCCACTTTCAATGAATGAAGAAGCTAGTACCTAGTTTCACCCTCCATCATTACTTTCCTCAGTTGGAAAGTGATGGGCCTGAAAAAGACAGGTTCCTGTTTGTGGGGAAGCTCCTCACGTAATCCAGAATGTTGGAAAATTAGATAAATCACACCCTTTTCTTCATGTGTTGAAGCCACCTAGATATGTAGCACCAGCAGAAGGTTTTCATTGTAACTGAGTGGAATGAGGAGTTTTCTGCTACTGTTTTGTCTTCTTCAACAGAGGGCATAATTGTATATGCCCCCCAGTTAGATAGATTTTTGTGGTTATTTCAATGATTTTATAAATTTCTGTTCACACAATGCATGTGTAACATTGTTTTATTTGGCCAGCCAGTCAGTTTTTTTTCCACCTCGCCAGCATGTTCTTTTAAAAATGACCGAATCTTTGTTTCAATTCAATCCTTAGCAATTTTCCCCATGTGAATACAGCTATTGATTCATTTACTGTGCTAATGGGTTCGGTTCTTGGGCCTTAATATATATATATATTGATTGCTAAGCATTATATATAGAGTTTTGTGTGTGTGTGTGTGTGTGTATGTATATGTATATATGTGTGTGTTTGAGTGCTTATGTGTGTGTATGTATATATACATACATTTGTATGTATATATACATACATATACATATGCATGTATGTACATATCTGTACATATACATTCCAACATACATACAATGTATGTATGTATGTATGTATGTATGTATGTATGTATGTATGTTGGAATAGAGACCCACACATATACATGCAGATAGCCTTCCCATCTTTCCTGGCACCCAGTTTAAAAAAGGGAGGGAGGGCTGACTGGCTGACTTGCTGCAGGTGACATATCCCACTAGGTGTTGTTTAGACTAACAGTTGGAAGTGTGTATGTGTGTATGTATGTATGTATACATGCAGATAGCCTTCCCACCTTTCCTGGCACCCAGTTTAAAAAAGGGAGGGAGGGCTGACTGGCTGACTGGCTGCAGGTGACATATCCCACTAGATGTTGTTTAGACTAACAGTTGGAATTGGCAGGAATATACTGTAGTGATATATCACTCATGAAGTTTTTTAAAAAGAAAAGTTTAGGACAGCAGGGATCCAGAAACACGACAGAAAATGAATCAATTTACTGTATATGAGATGCCACATGTAGTCTACAGAACCAATAAAAATAGCAATAAATGTACTGACTGAACTGTCAGCCATGTGAATAGGCCCAGCAGTGTGTGTGTGTGTGTGTGTGTGTGTGTGTATACACACATACACATACACATACACATACACATACACATACACACATGCATACATGCATACATGCATACATACATACATACATACATACATACATACATACATACATACATACATACATACATACAAACCACGTGAAAACGCTGCGGGCGGCCATTTTTTCCAGCGGCCATTTTGGAACTGCCGATCAGCTGTTTTTAAAACATCGCAATGCCAAGATCGGTAAGTGAAACGCTTACCAATCATCACAATGTGATTTTTGGCCATTTAAAACATTGCTATGCTATCGCTTTTGCGATCGCAAAATCCACATCGCTATGCAGATTTGTCGTTAAACGGGGCACTCGTTAAGCGAGGCACCACTGTGTGTGTGTGTGTGTGTGTGTACACACACACATACACATATATACATATACACATATACACATACATACATACACACACACACACACACACACACATACTGCATGACTATACATACAAACATATTGATTCAGAAAAAGGAGGGAAAAGAAACTATTCAAATGGTCTGTGTGATTAGGCCTAGAGTTAAGTATTTTAGTTTATTGCTTAGTTTCCAGACAGGTTCTTTCCTTTTCTGTTATCTTCCTCTATTTCTTTGCATTGTTCATTTAAGAAGGCCCTCTTGTCTCTCCTTGCTATTCTTTGGAAGTCTGAATTCAAGTTTCTGTAACTTTCCCTATCTCCCTTGCATTTTGCTTCCCTTCTCCTCTCTGCTATTTCTAAGGCCTCGTTGGACAGCCACTTTGCTTTCTTGCATTTCCTTTTCTTTGGGATGGTTTTCTTTGCTGCCTCCTGGACAATGTTACGAGCCTCTGTCCACCGTTTCTCCAGCCCAACACTCCCTAAACATGATGAGTTACAAATCACACCATAGTCAGCCAGGAGATCAATGACCCATCTGTTAAGTGGAATGACGATACAGTATTTGTAGTCTAGCAGATCTGAAAGACTAGAAGGCTCAAAGCCTTCCATTACAGGCTGTAAATGCTGGAGAACTGGAATAGAGAATAGGCACATGGTTTTGAGCTAGCTTGCCTTCCTTGCTAAACCATATGTGGTAGTTTTCTCAATGTAATGACTGCATAGAAAAAAACAGGTGTTTGGCTATTTTGAAAAGAATGAGTTGCACATGATGGCCAATGTCATGGCTCACATTTAAATTGTAGTTTTTCTTGCCATCTAGCCTTGTAAGTAGACAACCACAAAATTAAAATGTACGGAAAGTCTCATCCTGTTCTAACAGCTGCGTGATTTTACTTAAAACTTTTTAAGTGCAAGCATGGGAAAGTTTTGATTGAGGTGAAAACTTCTTATTTTGACCATTTTAGAAATC